CCACAGTCCCAAGGTGTATTTGAGGCCACAGTCCAGGTGAAATACGGCCACATACCAGGTGTAGTGACGGGCCCCAAAGTACCGGTGTGTGAGGGCCACAGTCCGGGTGTAGTGACGGGGCCACAGTACCAGGGTAGTGACGGCCACAGTACCATGGTAGTGACGGCCACGTCCAGGTGTTTGACGGCCACAGACCAGGTGTATGACGGCCACGAACAGGTGAGTGCACACAGTACCGGTGTGTGACGGCCACAGTACCAGGTGTAGTAACGGCCACAGTACCAGGTGTGTGACGGCCACAGTACCAGGTGTAGTGACGACCACAGTACCAGGTGTAGTGACGGCCACGTACCAGGTGTAGTGACGGCACAGTACCAGGTGTAGTGACGGCCACAGTACCAGGTGTAGTGACGGCCACAGTACAGGTGTAGTGACGGCCACAGTACAGGTGTAGTGACGGCCACAGTACCATGTGTAGTGACGGCCACAGTACCAGGTGTAGTGACGGCCACAGTACCAGGTGTAGTGACGACCACAGTACCAGGTGTAGTGACGACCACAGTACCAGGTGTAGTGACGGCCACAGTACCAGGTTGTAGTGACGGCCACAGTACCAGGTGTAGTGACGGCCACAGTACCAGGTGTATTTGACGACCACAGTACCAGGTGTAGTGACGGCCACAGTACCAGGTGTAGTGACGGCCACAGTACCAGGTGTAGTGACGGCCACAGTACCAGGTGTAGTGACGGGCACAGTACCAGGTGTAGTGACGGCCACAGTACCAGGTGTAGTGACGGCCACAGTACCAGGTGTAGTGACGGCCACAGTACCAGGTGTAGTGACGGCCACAGTACCAGGTGTAGTGACGGCCACAGTACCAGGTGTAGTGACGACCACGGTACCAGGTGTAGTGACGGCCATAGTACCAGGTGTAGTGACGACCACAGTACCAAGTGTAGTGACGACCACAGTAACAGGTGTAGTGACGGTCACAGTACCAGGTGTAGTGACGGCCACAGTACCAGGTGTAGTGACGACGACAGTACCAGGTGTAGTGACGGGCACAGTACCAGGTGTAGTGACTGCCACAGTACCAGGTGTAGTGACGACCACGGTACCAGGTGTAGTGACGGCCATAGTACCAGGTGTAGTGACGACCACAGTACCAGGTGTAGTGACGACCACAGTACCATGTGTAGTGACGGCCACAGTACCATGTGTAGTGACGGCCACAGTACCAGGTGTAGTGACGGCCACAGTACCAGGTGTAGTGACGGGCACAGTACCAGGTGTAGTGACGGCCACGGTACCAGGTGTAGTGACGACCACGGTCCCAGGTGTAGTGACGGCCACAGTACCGGGTTTGTAGTGACGGCCACAGTACCAGGTGTAGTGACGACCACAGTACCAGGTGTAGTGACGGCCACAGTACCAGGTGTAGTG